GCTGAACAAAACTTGGATGAAAATATATCCAGTACTTATGCTCAGTGGGTTCTCAAAAATGTTACTGAAGACATTTATGAACTATGAAATGGTGCATCTATAATTTGTAATTTGAGTGTTTAAGACATAATGTAATAAATGATTGTATGTAATTAATGTTACATTCACTATTGTATAATTATTGTATTCTAAATCATACATTATCTTTTGATTTCATTAAATCGATATGTTCTTTATATATCGTAGGTTTTGATTTCTTAATTTCTCAATGTCTTTATATATGTTCTAAACTAATATCTTTTTTATATTCATTTCATGATGTAGGTAAGTTACAATACAGAGGAGTAGGTTGAAAGAAAAACATATCAGAGATATTAGTTCAGAATCGTTTATGACATCTATAGATATTGGCTATGAATTGAATCTTTCGAAGGGAAATGAATGTACTATCAGATCTAACTCCATCACTTCTAACCCTTCAACTGATATTGGATCGAACAATATAGGAGGTCCAGGTTTAGATAGTACCCCATTAATTGATTATGCTTTAAATTTGAATACAGGTATGATATACCCCAAGTTTAGAATTTGAGTATAATGATAAAAGTATTACGATTTTACAAATTTATTTTTTATTTGTTGTAGTTGATAACAATGATCAACGGAGGACCAAAGGCTTGACAACTTTGAAGAAATTATTTGCACTACCTCCTAATGAATGTATTGTAGTGTCTGCAAACTTTGATAAGCAACTAATTGGTGAAGAGGCTCTACTGTTAGCTGGATTTCTAGGCTTGCTAGCCCATAATGGAATGAAATTGCCTATTCATTATGAAACATGGCATAAAGTTCTAGAAGAAGTTAAGGCTGATGCTTTAAACTTTATTGAGGTAGTATAATTAATTAGATATAAAAAAATTTTTATTTTACATTTTGTTTACTTATTCACACTTTTCTTATTGTATTATTACAGTCAAGATTTGTACTTGAAATACCAACTTCATTTGTGCTTAAGTCATTGAAAAAAAAATGGAAAGATTATAAGCATAGTTTGAAAAATAAGTATTTTGATCGAAATACTACTGTAGAGGTGATGATGGAAAATCTACCCTATAATGTGATTAGGTAGCAATATGAACAATTAGTTAGATTTTGGTTCTCAAGAAAATGAGAGATACTAGTTTATAACTTTGTATAGAAGAATGAAATGATGAAAGTGTTTTATGGTTTAAGTTGGTAATATTTGTATTTCTATCATATTCGTAATTATTTTTTATGACAGGAAAGAGAATAGATTGGGATTGGTAGCATAAATCAACAAAAATATAGCCATACAAGTGGATCAAAAAGTTTTGCAAGAAAGCAAAAAAAAATAATAAGTTTATGATAATAAACTTATTCTAATGAATGAACTTTTTCTGCCGTTAAAAGGTAAATATGCAAATTAACAGTTATTGTTCTATTTTAATAGTTTTGATAGTTTCAATATATGATATTAAACTTATTGAAAGTTTTGAACTTAGTTGACATAGATGATATGTATGAAAAAGTTATTATTTACGTATATTTAGGTAAAAATACAAAATTGTTGTTATTGTTGTATTTTAACAGTTTGGATAGCTTTAATACTTGTATTAACTTGTTCGATTGATTGAACTTGGTTTCTACGGTTTATATGGGAGAAAAAGTTGTCGTTTATGTCTATTTGGGACTATTTTGGCATATGAAAGGCAAATATACAAATTAAACTTTTGGATGGCTTCCGGCATATTGAATTGCTTCAATCCATGATATTAAACCGGGAAAAAATAATTGAATTTGGTTTCCATGATCGATATATGTGAAAGCCCAAAATGCTTTTATTGTTTGCGTATGTTTAAGTCTATTGTGTTGTTACGGGACCAAAATATAAATACATGATATTAAAATTATTCAAAATTTTAATACTTGATTGACAAGCTTGATATGCATGAATAAGTTATGGTTAATATGTATCCTATCAAATAACATATGTTTTTGTATAGGAGAATGAGATGGGAGGTAAAATTGGATGTGAGAAACTTTTTCGCATAACACACACAAAAAAAGATAGATTTTACATGAATGTCGAAACATAAAAAATTATGGTAATTTGTATCATCTATTTTAATAATGGTAAATATTTACTCTTTTTAACATATTATCAATTAATCATTAAACCTGATAGTTGTATATGACAAATTCACAAGAGAAAGCGAAAGAAAAAATGGCTACTGAGATTGAAATAGCATTTGATGGTTCTTTCAACATGCAAGAAATGGAAAATCGAATATTCATAGAAGTTGTTAGAAAAGAAAGGCATGGATGGGTCTAAGGCCTTGGATTGGGTCTAACACCATCTGCCTACTATGGATATAATTTTCAGCAATTTACATTCTCAGCAAGTTAGTCTTTATGAGACATTTCAATATTGAGAGGGGAGTTGCAAACTATGCAACAATGTTTTTAGCAAATGAAAGTAAAATGAGAACATGAGTATGCCAAAATTGAGGAAGAACGTATTAGAATGAAGTAAAAGTGTGCAAAATTTTAGCAATTGCATGATCGATTCGATCATCTTATGAATTTTGTGCAACAATAATTTTTAGGAAATGATCTTGGTGCTTCACCAACTTAGGTATTATATTTAGTAAATATTTAAATTTGTGAATATAAAAAAAGCTTACAATGAAGTGTTAAAAATTGTATGATATTATTCAGTAAGTTCTTGAGCACGCTAGTGACCAAGATGAAAATTTTTCTTCATCAATTGGTAGCCAGCAAAATGTATGTAGTCATCCATTTTATACATTTTAATTTTTATTTTGTTAATGCATTAAAAATATTTGAATGTTATTATACTAATTATTAAACTTTGTATTAATTAATGTATATTTAAACGTGAATTAAGTTTATATTAATTTTAGTTTTTGAATTTAAGCTCTTTAATGAAAATAAAATTTATTAACAGAAATTAAAAAAAAATACATTTTTACATAACGATAGTATTTGTGTTCAACAATGTCACTAAATGAATAATTTAGTGGTGTTTGTATCATAAAATGCCATTAAAAGTAGTGGTGTTCTTACTAGTAAATGCCGTTAGTTAAGTGACTTTTTTTTATACAAACTCCACCAAAGCAATGGTGTTTTCTCATAAAAATGCCGTTAAATTAGCGGCATGTCAAAGATACAAACGCCACTAAAATGATAGTATTTCATATATAAACGTCGCTAATATTGAGGCATTTTTTTGAAAACATCGCTATTTTTCGCGAAACATGTATAGTCGACACTCTAATTAGCATTTTTCGTAAATGTCGTAAATCTTTTAGCAGCATTTATAAACGTCGCTAAACGTGAAAAAAATGTCACTAAAAATCTAAACCCGTGTAGTGTGATCGTTCTCGTGTAACAGTGGAGGTTGATGCAATAAAGTTGGTATGATTTTTGGTGACTAATGAGATTGTCGATGGTTGGGGCTGGATAACTGAAGCTGATGGCTATAAGTTGTTTCAATTTAGCAATAGTGTAGTGACAAGGGCAACGGGATGATGATGCAATAGTGCTTTGGCGGAGATGAAAATATGGTTTCAATTGAAATAGTGGGCTGAAGGTGGTGGCGAAAAGAGGCAAGCTTGGGCTATTGAGGGTGTTGGTTGTAACGATGGTTTCGGCTATGAATCAAGACTTAATTGCAATGAAAATTCCTTTTGCTTTTCTGTGTTTTTCCTTTTGATTACTGTATTTCTTGATTGTTTTTCTTTGCTTTCTATGTATTTTTGGATTTGCTGGGCTAAAATGGGGATCAGTTTGAGTTTGAGTATGATGGCTAGAAATTGGTAAAAAACTGGGTATTGGAATTTGTATTTGGTTGACTGGTGATAGCAATGGCGGAAGAGTCGAAATTTAGTGATGGAGCTATAAACAACAAATGAAGTAAGGACAATGATGGATGGTGATGCTGTGGTAAAAGAAGTCGGCTTAAGCTCTTTTGTTTTTTGGTGATTTCTATCTAATTTCTGTGTGTTGATTCACTGTGAGCTCAAGTTTATTTATAAGACAAGTTAGAGGCATTTCAGTTAAATCAAACTCAGTCTAAGATGAGGATTATCAATTTAAAGTTTCCTACTTACCAACAAAACTCATCTTTTGATTTTTCTTTTGATTTTTTTTGAACTAATAAGATAAATTAAAAGATATTTGAAATTAAAGATAATTAACAAATAAACATAAAAAAAAATTTAACAGATAAAGAAAATAAAAAGAAAATAATAGAGTAAATTGGATAATAAAAAACATATATACTAGACAAGTAAAACTAATAAAATAAACTAAAAAATCATAATTAAAAAAGAAAAAACTAAGCTTTGGACAAACTTAAACCTAATTGATTTTGGGCTCTTGGGCTTGAAATTAAATCAAGTCTAACTAATTTAGGCCTCAAACTTAATGGGATGTTTACAATTAATCATTAACATTTTTTTCCATCCAAATCAAGGGAACAATTGGATGAAAATAGATGTTTTAGGGCTTTTTGATAATCTTCAAGTGCCATGTATTGTCATTCTAATATTTTTATATCAGATAGAATTTTATTGGTTATGGTAAAGGTTAGCTCATCAAATATTCCAAAAAACAGTGCATCCACATGTTTGAGTTGGGCACAGCCATTTGAAAGAGTGGTCACATGTTCTTTTCCAAGTTAAAGGGAGCCAATAGTAGGATGAACATGAACAAAACTCTAAACAGTTTGTGCTGACATGAGATTACTTCATGAATTAAGAGGAAGATAATATACCCTTTTTTTTTTTGAGAGTTGATTTTGATGTTTGACTTCCCATAAGTGAAGACAAGAAATTCCTTTATTTTCCAATAATAAAACGATTCTGAATTACCTAAAATCATTTTTCAACTACTAATTCCTAAGCCTTGAGAAAATACATAGTTATTCAACAAGATACGTCTGATCATCTGTTACCAGAAAACTGGCAACAGTAGCATCGATCTTTCCATTTTACAAACAAAATAACTTGTAAAAGAATTATTGAAGTGAAAGCCGATAGAGTGAGATATTTGTCATGTGCATATCGCGGTGATAGCCAATGCTTCTGGTTTGGCAGTGGGCACAAATGTAGCATTGTTGCTCGCAGGCTCTGGCTTGCTCACCGCTTTAACATTATCCAATATCTTCTTGGCAAAGTCCTCGAAACACTCATAGATGGTTTGAAAAGCAGTGTCTGGATAGAGAGAGCAGACTTCAACATCAGTTGGCTTGTCCAAGATGAAGTTTATTTGGCAGCCATTTATGAAAATGTCGTGAGTTAACGCTGCTACAACACTTTGTGGGAACCGCATCTCTGCAGGGTTAGTGTCCAACAGTTAGGCCAGAAAATTGACGGTTATTGGGGCCAGCCGAGTGGGATTCAGTTTCTTAAAACAAAGGTTACTTTATTTACTTGTACCAAAACTTCAAAGAAAAGTGGCATTAAGACAAACCTTGGGCCCTCTGAAGCAGATCTTCTTCCGTGATGGTGACCCTAGGAAGCGTGCGGCCGATCTTCTCCTCCCATAGTGAAGCCATCTCGTTCATGTTTAGTAGGTTGCTTGAAGGTTGAAAATGGACAGTTTTGTTGAGCGTTCGATCATCGTTAATGGACATGATTGTGAACTTGCCGATGTCAGTACCCGCCACAAAGTATGCTGTCCATTCACCACAAAATCATTGAATTAAGGCCAAATCAGATATTGTAGATGAAACATAATGAAAACAACAAGTACAATAAGGTAATTGATGTTCAAAATTCTAAACATGATGGTGAATTGTCGACTCAAGTTTCCTTTCATTAAAACGTTTGGTTATAGACTTTAATTATTGTTACTGCTACTACTTTTAATTATTGACTTGTTGATTCTTGCTCAAGCTACTCGAGCAATGAGTCCAGAAGTATAATATTTGATTTAAAAAGACTAGTGAGTTTAGGCTCATAATTGAGTTTAATTGAGCTTAATTAAGTTTTTATTTTTAATATATTTAATATATATAAGTCAATAAAAAATTAGAGTTTAGTATCAATATTGATAATTTTTATTGAGCAGTTCAATTAAATTATGAGCTGAGCTCGACAGTAAAAGTAAAATTCAATCAAATTCTAACTTAATGCAGATTATAATTCCATTAAAAAGTAAGCAAATTTAGAATTGATTAATTAAAGTCTTTCTCTTCGAGCAAACGTCATAAAAATCGAGGGTAACATCCACACGATCATATCGCTGTTCTAATAACCTAAAATTATATCTAGGCATCAAATCTGACATGAATTTGGTGGTCCTCTCTTGAGAATAAACTCTTATACCGAAAATGGTAATTTAATGAATTTTGAGCTTAACTTGAATGGTTTATTTGGCTTTTATAGAAGTTGGTTTCTAGTAAAGTCGGAGTTCGATCCCAACAGTTGCAAAATTTTCTCTCTAATTTCTCGCTTGGACATCCTATATATATATATATGTATATATAAATGACAGTTTAACTATCCCCCTTTTGGATTATCTTCAAGACAGCCTACGAATGATCAAATTTGGACCCTATTAGCAGTTGTCGACATCAACTCCCACAAGAACATATTACTTCCATCTAAAAGAGGTGTCAAGGTTAGTCCTCGATCGACGACTTAGCGGCTAAGGAACTCTTAAGAGGATATAAAAATTTTGGTTAATTTCGAATCAAGACTTTTGTTTTTCATGGATTATGCTCATCTTATTATACAAAAAAAAAAAAAAAAAAAGGTTTCAAGGTTTTAAAAAATGATACGCCTAATTAGAGTGAAATTCACATACTAACAAAATCAGCTTAGCTTTTAAAATTTTAGTGCTCGCCAAAATAATTTAGGAGTCATTTGGTAATATTTCCATTTTTTGTTTTCTATTTTTGTTTTATTTTTTTTAAATTGAAGATAAAATCATGTTTGATAAGTTGTTTTTGTTTTCTGTTTTTTAAAACTGAAAACAAAATTTTAGAAAATTTTGAAAATTGTTGAAAACAAAAAGAATAGTGTTTTTAGTTTTTAAAAAACAATTAGCATTGTTATCACATAGACACTGTTCACAAAATTACAATTAAACTGCTGCAGTGACGTTATAATTATTTTATTAATAAAATAATTCTTTTCTTGTATAAATATTACATTAATAAATAATATAATAATTAATAATATTATATTTATTATATAAATAATATTATATTAATAAATAATATTATATCATATTAATATATTAGAATTAATATTATATTAATATATAATATATTAATAACATATTATATTATTTATTGTTATAATATTATTAGTATAATACATATAATAATATTATTAATATTATAAATATTATTATATTATTAATAACAAAGGGAGCCACTTTCTCTTACATATTTTTGTTTTAATATTTGTAAAACAAAAGCATTTTATTAAAATATGTTTTCAAATTCAATAAATTCAAAATAAAAACAAAACAAAACAAAATTTTGAAAAACATAAAATACAAAACACGCAATAATATCAAATGGTCTTTTAGCTGTCCAATTCATGATTTAACTTTTCATTTAGTAAGTAATACTCAATTTGAAAACCAAAGGATCAAATTTGACAAGTCAAAGGTTTGAATTATGAAACAAAACTTGAAATTTTCAATATTTTCAAATTACTATAAACTTTATGTTTTGATGTAATGTCCCGGGTAACTAATAAATACTAACCCTTTGTGAGTTTGTTGGGGCTGAAACGAAGCAAAAGGCTTGGGAAAGTGTTAGGAGAGGATGGTCACATGATAATTGCTACCTAACCCAACATATCGGTCACCAGCCTTTCTTTAGTACACTTTGACACTCAACTGAGTTGACTAGTGGCTACACTCGACAAGAAGAAGAAAGAGGCAATATATACTTATATATCATTGGATAAGCTAGAAATCTAATCAAGGGAGGTACACTGATTCTTACCACTTTCCCTCTTGATTGGGGCTTTAGATTCTTCCAAGACACATTTTTTGAAGGGCAGCCAAGGCGCAAAACCCGTAAAGGTACTACAAATTTTTCGATGTCAGTTACGTTAGGCCCTCTTTAATGGATAAGATGATAAATAAAATAATATAAAAATGATTATATTTTATGTTTGGTTTGAATATAGTTAAAACAAATAGAATTATAATGAAGTTTTTATATAAAATGATTAAATTTTTTTAAAATAAAAAGATTATTTTTAATTTATAAAATTAAATTTAGATGTTTTATTATATTTTTAAAAATTATATTAATAATTTAAATTATGTAAATTTAAAAAAAAATAATTTTGATCAATAAATAAATTATTTTATTTTAATTATTATACACATTAAATTTAATTAAAATAATATTATTTAATCTAATTTTATTTATAATATCATTTTATACTATCATTTTATAATCTTTTATATCAAAATGGCCTTAAAGAAAAAGGTGAAGTATGAATTTTGCAGTGAAAAAACCTATGGTACATGCATGTATCTACACTCTGACTACAACTATTTCTCATGCTTTAATGCCACTCTTGGCCGAGGTGGATATATATAAAAAAATTCGATGAGTTTATTAGTTTTATTAGCGGAAAAGGTGTTTAGAAAAAAATTTTGAGGTGTTTAAAAATTTTTTTCTTCAAAATTTTTTGTTTTTTAGTTTTAGGGGTGTCCATGCTTTGAATCCGCTTCTACGCTTTGCTGCTCAAATATTGTATAATGTTGAGTTGAAAGAGTAAGAAATACTATGAATTATAAAATCTATTTAGTAAGAATAGGATCATTGATTTGTGGTCATAAGCAAGCTGCTTATGCATGGTATAATTTTTTTTTTCTTTTTCTGGTCATGTATAAATCCAAAGCTTCCGCTTTGGTAGAAATTATCCCTTCTGGCTATCCAAGAATGTTTGAAGGAAAGTCATAATTGAAGGAGACATGTTTAGAATGAAACAATTGCATTAATTAGAAAATTATAACTAGATATCGTATATTGACTACCAAAAGATGGGAAAATGTTTACTTTGGGGGGGGGGGGGGGTGAGGTCTGAAGCTATTTTGAGATCATTATTCTAAATGAATTAACAAAAGAAATGATGATTTATGGAGTGCAGTTTTTTTAGATTTCTTCTTGGTTTGTGGTGCTTTGTCTTAAATTAAGAATGTTTGCTGAAAAATTTAAACATGTCAAGTGTCAACCAGCACCAAAAAGCAAACAAATGTGGGCTGGCTAGGACCTTTTTCAGTTTATCCATTGCTGAAAACTTTAACTACACGATTGCATTTTTTAATATATTCGTTTATCCATTCATTAAACTATTTTGTTTTGGGTTTTGCATTTCGAAAGGATTCTTTGCCTCTATTTCCTGTGACCTAATCTACCAACAGTCATGTAGTCTAATGGTGGTACTGCACTCTTAATTTATTGAACATGGATCAAATTCTAATAACTTCAGATACCCAAAAAAAAAAAAAAAAACTAATCAACTCTCCCAGTCTCTTCCTATATTAGAAACTGGCAAGGGAATAGTAGGTACACGCAGCATTTACTCTTAAAACAGTAAGGCTTGTGCTGAAGGAAATCTGCCAGCCAAACTCAACAAACTCCGCTAGTCTTTATCCTTTTTAATAACAATTAAATCAGACAAACCATTAACTCTAATTTTGTTGTTTTACCAAACTCAACCAATGACAAGATTTAATATTCAATTCAAACATTAAAAACATTTCCCATGTTTTGAACTCTAATTAATTTCCTAAATCTACCTCCTAATAAAAATAAAATAAAATTCAAGTAATTAAACAAATAAAAGTAATATATATATAATTTGATACCATATAAGATAAAGTATAATATAATTAAGTAGAGATATATATTAGATTATGAATGTCAATCTTATCCATATTTAATGGAAATTCAATTTTTAAACAAATGGGGATAAGGAAAGATATTACATTACGTGGGTATAATGATAGATATGAGTATGATTTTAAATTTTTATTGGGTATAGAAATGTGGATGGATAATATAATACTTGTCATGTACCTATATCTTACATATATATTTATATATTTAGTACAAAAAATTTATTAAATAATATAAATTATTATTTTAGATTAATTAAAATTAATAAATTTATTTTTTATTTTTTTCAAAAGCTATGGGTGGTATGGAGAATTGCTATACCCATTAAATATTTATGAAAATAAAAATAAATATAAATTTAAAATATCTATTGAATATAAATATATAAATAAATATAACATAAAAATTCAAAGATAAGAATGAAAAATACTAAACTCTTCCCGTATCCTAACTACGCTTTTTTTTTTTGGGGGGGGGGGGGTGTGAGATAGCGAGAGATTCATGGGACATTGATTTTCTTGGAAAACGTGAAGTCTTAGGGTAATTAAAGGTATCTATCGATCGTTCTGACACCAATTGTCTGCAATATAAAGATTTCAACTACCAACCACATGAAAGATAAAACAAAAAAGGAAAGAAAGAAAGAAGGAAGGAAAGGAAAGGAAAGGAAAAGATGGGGTATACCTTTGACAGTGCCATCTCCGTAGATTTGGAACCTATCAAGGGGTGGGAGAACATCTGCTGGGTGAGTGTTATCATGGTAAGGCCAAGCAGCAATGGAATTGCAACAAATGTAAGTGTATGGAACTCCAGACATCTCTATCTGCCTCCTAATCTTCCTCTTTTGTTCGTACATGGTTAGCCCCGGCTCCACTGGGTCAGCTCTGTCTATGTCGTGCCCGAATTCCGACGGTAAAAACCTCTGCAATTATTTCACCTTTCATTTATTAACCGTGTGGTGCAAGTGCAATAATGCATGTTGAATTAATATATATACAAAAATATATATATATATATATATATATAGATATACGAAGAAGGATTTATTTATATTAGTATAAATTTTTTATATTATATTTTTGGATTAAAATCTTTATACTTAAAAATATTTTTTTATCTAAATCCATCCTAAATTTAATTTTAATTCAGAAGTAAAAAAGTGTAAGATTTATATTAATATAAACAAATTTTTACTCTTTATATATATATATATATTTTTTTTTTTTCTAATTGAAAACACTCAATGCAGAATGGATACTGTTTTTGGTTCTCGATCTTGCTTTGCATGCTATAGGTGTGACCTAATTTATGTGATAATTTGCATGAATATATATAGGACATAAAGATAACGCTGTAGCTTCAATGACATTTCAACTTTATTTTTTATCTTACGCCAGTTTATAGGATAATAATCTTAACTAATTTTAACTCTGAGCAAGGCATGCAACAAGTGCTTTCCAAACATGCGATGCGAAACAGTAACCAAACAAGTAAGCTGCAGTGACAATGTAAAGCATGAACTTTAGTTGTTGTTTTAAACCCGAATCTTGATTCAATTGATTTTTGTAACTACCCTTAAATGATAACATTCAACAAATATGAAGTTTAAATTCTTGCACTTGGGATCTGTTCCTTTATTTCCATGCTGTGGCTTCCTTTATAAAAAAAAGAAATGTTATTTTGAGCATATACCTTGACAGTGTCAACATTCTTAATAGCCTCTATCAGATTTAACTGTTCCATGATGCCCTCCCCACCGACCGCAGATATTACAACTTCTATCTTATGTTCTCTCAAAACATTCTCTATGAATTCTTTGTCGGTGATAGAACCCTGTTGCAACATTTTCAAAGATGGCATAAACGTATGCACGTACATACATACATGTAGATATTTACAGCATGAATTTAAATATAGATATATATATATATATATGTATGTGTAAATGCATGAAAATTGCGAAGATACAATAGATGTTAAGGGAGAATATGGTACATACATAAACAATGGTAGCTCCTTTGTCTTGAAGAAACTTGATGGTGGAGTCTTTGGAGGGAGAGTTCAAACTAGACCGGACCAAAATATATGTAGGCCGGCCTGAGTCTAGGCAGGCTTCCGTAACAAACCGGCCTATAAACCCACTCGAGCCTATAACAATGGTCCGACCGGTCTCCGACACATTTGGAGAGGAACCATTCATGTTTGTAGATTTCATATTGTTTGCTTCTATTTTAAGCTTATAAATTTCGGCGCACAAAGGAAAAGAAGAAATAAAAAAGAATGATGGGAGTGACAAGAGAGTGAGGACAAGGTGAGTAAGAAGCAATATCGGACTTGTGTTTAAATAGAGGTGAGCACTCAGGGCAGGTAAAGGTAATGGCGAAAATTACCAAAAGGGAGGGCCATGGAACTGCAATTATGATCCATAGCCTACCACGTACAATTTGTATTAAATACTTATTCGTAATATGTATATACGGTTGTAAAAGAGGTTGGGGTGGTGGAAGAAGGATTGGTAGGTGTTGGTTGAGATGTGGTTTGATAGTCACGCCCTTGACTTGATCGGTAGATAAACACAAGTCAACTCAACCTCTCTCTCTCTCAGCGAAGGGCCGGCTAGATAGCTACTCAAATGTTAATTTTTCTTAATTGACTAGTATTGATGTAGTATGGAATTAAACAATTCTCAAGTACTAATTAATTTTGATTTTACGGTATTTTAACTTATCAATATATTTAATATGTTTTTTATATATAAAATTATGATAAAATAAAATAAAATAATATCATAAGTAGGATTAGATTAAATAATGTCATTTTATCTTATATTTGATGTATTTAAGAATTAAAATATGATAATTTCTTTATTAATTAAAATTATTATTTCTAAATATTTATATAATTTTTAAAAATATAATAAAATATGTAAATTCAATCTCATAAATTAAAAATATTTCTTTTTACTTTGAGAGAATAGAATCATCTTATATCAAAAGGATGATTAATTTTTTTTAAATGTAAATAAAAAATAATTATCATATTATTTTATTCACAATCTTATATATCAAATATGATTTTAAAAGAATAATATATGTTGTGTCTCTGTCTTGATATCGCTGTATCATCATCATCATGTGCAAGCATCAACTAAATTAAAATTTTTATTGAAAGTTGTTGGACAATATATTCATGTACAGAGAGAGTAAAAAGTTCAAACTAGACTTTTTTTTGAAATTTTCAATCTGTACTTTGTTCTTCATTTCCGTGTATAACTTAAAATGTAGACAACTTGTTCTACAATGACAGAGAGTTAATATTTTTTTTTCATTATTTGACTAAAATTACTTAATTAGCACTATCAAACAAAAGATTCATTAAAATTATTTATGATTGGTTGTCAAAGGAATCATTTTTTTATCAACTATCATGTCACATGTGAGACAGGCTTTCTTTAGTGCTATATATATATATATATATATATATATATATATAAATATATATATTTGAATTGCAAACGTTGCCTTATTTTTTCTGTTTAAAGAGAATTTTATCATGATCATTGATCAGATGAGTTTGATTTTGAAAATACAATACATTCAAAATTTTGAGTAATTTTTAGATATTCATAAAAAACATTTATTTTTTTACCAAAAGAGATCACAACCAAAAATTTAAAAAAAAAAAAATTATAGATATTATAATTTAAACCCCAAATCAATTGGACATTACCTTTTAAAAATAACTTAATGAACTTATTGAATTAAATTTTGATTTAAATTTTACTTATCTAATCTCCAAAGATAGAATAACTTAATATCCTTTTTCTAAACAACATAAAATATTTTAAAAAAAACTAAAATAATGTTAGTTTTCAACAATTAATTATGTCACTAGGTACTGTACCAAAACGAGCTACAAAATTACTAATATTGGAAGCTTATCAAATTTTTAATTGACAAAAGATACATTAATTGATCTTTAATTAAAGTATTGCAATAATGCGAGTAAGATTAATTTCATAATTTCATATCATTATCTCCCACTTCCCTTATATTATTATTCTTTCTTAATTACCATAATTAATTAGTTTATAAGAAACTTAGAGTTTTTCTCATGTGGCATTTAATAAATTTGGAGTTTAAATTTTAATACTTCTAATATTTTTTCTATTATCAGATTGTGACTTTTTTTGTAAAAAAAAAAAAATTAAGGGTCTAATTTTGAACATTTCACTTGAAAAACTTTGAACAAGGTTTAGTGGAAAATTAATAATTAACTGTGTCAAGTTACACTTTATAAGTAATGAACAAGTTCACCACAAATTAATTATCTCGAATACTAAGTTGTACCGAGAAAAGAAAAATCATGATATATAATTGACATGGGTGTAAGTAAATAAATCAAGACATACCCCTAAACTAATTTGGTTCAGCTAATTTATAAATACTTGAGTTCAATTCATTCACTGTTTATCAAGCCAAACTTAACTAATGATTCAAATCGAATTTGAGTATTATAATACTCAATTCGAGTAATTTACAAGTCTTATCGAGTTTTTGAATATTTGATAATATAAAAATATGAATTTAGAATTTATTTCAATTGGTTTAAACAATCACTTAAGAAGTAGCATTCAATAGGTATAAAGTTTAAATTTCAGCATAATAAACCATTTCTTTATCCCTAGACTACTGCCTCATTTATAAAAAAAATAAAAATATAATATATATTTATATTTTTAAGTTTTGGTTGATTTTTGAAGTTCAGCTCAAGTTGAATTTCAAGCTCCTTGATTAAGTTAATGATAATTGAGCATAAGCAAATCAAATTTGAGTAGGTTGATTATTTTCAAATTGAGCTGACAACAAAATAAAACTTTGATCAAGTTTAAGCCAAATGTCTGTACTTCAATTTTTGTAATTGAACTGAACTCAAGTTTTAGTATAACATGTACAAGCTCCACTTGATTCGATTATACTTTTAGCCACTAATGAAAAAATTTCACTTCACTATAAATCGTAGAATTTGCTGAAAATATTATAGGGACCACGTCTAGTGAAAGTTGGCAAACAATTTGAACTAACAATACAATAAACAAATTTTTTATTTGTACGTATGAAAAATCTATTTAGCTTGATCCCATAAGCTTTTCTGCTCTTCTCAAAGTTCGAAATTAAAACTTTTAAATGAAATTCTTAAACTTTCGAGGAATCCGGTCCCATACAACTTCAACATATAAACAATGGAATAAGGACAATCATGCATGATTGAAAAGGGTAAATGACACCACAAACTAGATCTGTTAACTTAAAACACGACACAATAATATGATATAAATAAAAAAATACGGAGATAATACGATTTAAAATTTTAAAAAATTATAAATAAATTTAATAAAATTAAAAAATTATATTTTATATTTTTATGTCGATACGAATTATAACACATAATTTTAATATAAAACATGATTAAATATAGTATTTTATACAATACGATGATATAAATTGTTAGATTTACCACAAACTTCTTCGAGGGTAAAGTCTAAAATTATGAAATATATATAGTTATCCTAAAATGTCAAATTATAAGGATATGGTCTTGAATTTCCATTCTAATCCCTATTTACGCATAGCCACGAGGAGGGATGCAGCATGGGAAGGTGGAAATCAACTGGTGCTGATGATTGTAGTTTTAGGTTAAAAAATCGAAAAATATATTCAACAAGTGTAGACTTCTGTTGGCTTCATATTAAATATCAAGTGTTTAATTTAAGCTGCTAGCTTTTCATTTACGTGAGGTGTTCCAAAGAACATGGAACCTTGAGAATTAATGAAAACACATTCATGTTAAAGAATAATATTGTTTGCAGAATGTAAATTTTATTAAGCTTAAAACATGTAGCTGGTCACCTGATGTGTCATTAAAACCGATTTGAGAACTTTAGTTTATTAATAAGTGCAATCAAGTTGCAATTATATCATGTCCATACCTCCACACAATGCATTTACTCCACTATATTACAAACATTTAATAAAAAACTGTTGCATGTCTCAATAAATAAACTAATTTTTTATCATGTCTACAGCACATGATTGTTAATTAATTTATAATATAATGAATTAATTTTAATATTTTTATAATAATTAAATCAAAGTAATCATCATGATATTAAATTGAACATTCTTGCGCATAACTTTTGATATTAATTTTTAGTAACTTTTGTTAGAAGTTTGATAACATTAATAAAATTTTGATAATTTTTAATATAATTTTAATATTTTTTTATAATATTTTGATAATTCATTATATAATTTGAGTAATCATTTATACATTTTTTGTAATCTTTGATAAATTTTAGTAAGTTTGATATAATTGGATAACCTTTATACAATGTTGATAACTATTGATACAATTTTGGATCGAAGGAAATAGAAGTTTGACTGATCAAGATTACTTTTCAATAGATCATGATTATCAAAATTATTCTTTTGATCACTCCACTATATCTTATCATTAGTTGAGTTTTGTATATCTTTTTAACACATTATATATTTATCATGTGTAGACACCCAATTGGGTCCAGGCCCAGATCAATTGGGCCTGACTCAAATGGGTAAGACCCAATTCAATTTTTATCTTGTATTTTTTTTTCTGTTTCTTTTGTATTTTATGTATTTTATTATTTATTATTATTATTATGTATTAATATATATTTTTATTTTTTTTATTATTAGATTAGATTTATATGTATATAGTTATATATTTATTATTATTATATTATTATTATTATTTTGTTTTTGTTTTGTAATATATTTTTGGGTTTATCTTATTTTATTTGTTATTATTTTTTTTAAATTATCTGTTCTGATTTTTTCCTGATTTTCAGATATTATTTTTTAATTTTTTTATACTAGAATATCTTTTGATTTATCTTTTCTAATTATCTAGTATTTTTTTTTATTTTGATTTTAATTTTGGATGGCTGAGATTAAAAGATGAAGAATCCCACTGTGGAGGAGAACTAATCAGAAGAGTCCAATTGGATTCAAAGATTGAATCTCCGTCCAAGGAGGAATTAGGATTGATTAGGAACTCCTGATCAACCCCTATAAAAGGCACCTCCTGGAACAGATGCTGAGGGGAGAAAACAGTAAGCAAAGCTACTGATTTGAGAGAAAAGGAGGCGTATAGGAAGCTAAAAAAAGTTTAGGAGTGTTCTGGGAGTGAGAAAAAATTTTTAGAAATTTTTGGCGAAAAATTTTTCTGGAAATTTCTGGGAAATTTCCAGATTTCGGCAAAAATTCCAGCGAAATTTGAATTTTCCGGTAACAATTCTAGTGAACATTGAAGTTTCCGGCGACCTGTCAGTTTTCGACGAAGAATCCCAAAAACGGATGATATTCCGGCCAACTTCCGGTGAAATTTCCAGATTTCGATGACATTTTCCAGAATTCAGCATCGGTGTTCTTCAGCTTTTAGAGAGAAGGGAGAGGAAAAGGAAAGAA